GCTTTTTTTTAAATATTTATGGTAAAAAAGGGCATTCCCAAATGGCATGTTGAGCTCACACTCTACAACAACTCTACAACTACCCCTTTTGCCGTTCCGTTTATTCCTGTGATGCGGTTTTCCTTTTGGTGCTCTTGCTTATAACTGAGCTTCGGAATAAGCTATCCTTATATTATATTGTGTTGTGTTGTACCGAAGTAGACATGTGACATATCCTTCTTCAAACGAGGCTTGTGGAGAGTATTAAGCGGTAGGCAGCGGCTTGGCTCTGCCCCTGGCATTGCTGAAGTCCATGGGCGACGGTAACCACTCACCATCAGGTGGGCCGTATGCCCGTCTGCCTACAAAGGCAATAAAAAAAAAAAAAAAGAAAAAAAAAGAAGTGGTGCATAATAAAGCGGCAAATGAAAAGTGAAACCCGTAGGACAAATTTACAATCAGGTGATTAATTTGACCTCAATGAAATCAGACAACTATTTGGGAACTCAAAACAGTCAACAGGATTTATATGACATCATTGAAAGCAGCTAAACTGTTTAACGCAAGTAAAAATATTTTATTTATATTATACTTTTACAATATGTTTTGTTTTCTATATTAGAAAACAAACTAAAGAAAAGTTATTTTTGAAAGATATATATATATTGCGGAGATTAATCCGACTATTGCTCTTAAATCCTATTCATTGCCGAGATATACAAAAACAGCAATCACACGCTCCTTCTTAGATAGACGATAGATAATCGACATCAATAAAGGGTAAAAGGCCCGGCTTGTATAGCAAGGCTGTTCGTTTAAATAAATAAAGCATTTAACAGAAGACTCGGCGGTGGCTTGATAACATTGTCAGAAAATTTTCGGAAGTCAGTCTAATCAATTTTTTTACGACAAGTAAGCAGGCACAAGTGCGTTATGAAATAAGAAGAATTTGTTCTAGAATGTGGTTCGGGCGTTCTCAATATTTTTTCGTGTCCTACCAGTATAATACGATTGAGGCAGTTCAAGCTCAAAATAAAAGGTAACGGAACACGCCACGATACGATCAAACTATTAAGGAAACGATAAAATTACATAAGATAAATTCGGCGACGGTTGCCTTAAAATAGTAAAATACAGTTTCGAAACCTATGAACGAGACAGAGAAATAACTATCATGAATAACAAATTGATTATCTATACATATTTTGAAGTTCATAATAATTATATTATAGTACATATAATATGTAGACGTAAGTAATTAAGAAAACAGCACCACCTCAACGGAATCAGAACCTAATTCACTATTTCCAACTGTTTTGGAATTTCTCAGTAATTTTAATTATCGATAAAAAGCACTCAAAAATATTTTGACAGCCTTAAAGTCGTTAATAGTTACGCGCTGGGGTTCGGAATAAATATAAAGTTATCCAAAAGTACAAATTAAAACTGTATTAGAACTTAGAGCACTTAAAACACTTTAAAATTCTCAATACGCTTCTTCCGCTTCGCTTCAGGTGATCCGTTTGCTGTTTCGCTTCGAGTAGTTCCGATTAGTAACTGACTGCGTGTCATCTCTGTAACGCTTTTATAGTCGATACGACATCCTTAGAATCGTCGAGAATATTCCACACATTTCCAGTATTGTGCGTTTCCGCTATCTGACAATAGATGGCGTTGTACTTCTCGAGCTTTCTAAATCTTTTGATATTCGTTCGGCTATTCGGCGATAGATTGCGTTACTCTTACCGGCGTAACAATATTTATTTTAAAATAGAACACTATCCGACGATGTCTTGAGGGGAGAGCAGTATAACTGTTATTCTTTGAATATCTCATGTTTTTTATTTGGTTTTGTTTGTTTACACTTTGCGTTACCGGACGAAGGTCTTTTAGCAAGCTCCAAATAATTTTGTCATACCGTTAACTATGAAAATTCATGCACGTTACTTATGTTTTAGTTTTGATTTCTACTGATATTTAATTACAGATATTATTTCAATAAGCCGAAACGTAGAGAATATTCCGGTGAGTAGAAAAAGCGCAATAAAGGCACTAAAGAATGGACTGAAATAAACCCAAATAGCTCGTATTTCAAGATCGTTACTGTATAGAATAAGTTGATAATAAACGAATACTATATTGAGACCTTAGAACTTATATCTCAAGGTGGGTGGGGTGGTGCATTTACGTTGTAGATGTCTATGGGCTCCAGTAACCACTTAACACCAGGTGGGCTGTGAGCTCGTCCACCATATATACGCAATAAAAAATAAATAAAGCCTAACTAAAATAGTGGACGTCCAAAACAATCTGTCTCCTACACGCAATCACTACGTAAGTTTTTTTACTTTTCCTTACACAATCGTTTACAGCCTACGGGACTATTCCAATCACATGCGAACAAGATCAATCATCAACAAGTAATGTCCGAAAATCAGTTGGAATTATACAAAGAAAGAAAAATAAAGAAAAATATAACGTCTAAACTTAGGCCAACCAGACGAGATAATAAACGTAAACAAGCGGATGGTTACTGAGTTACATTGCGATAGCGAGGGATTATTATCTCTGTCCTTATCACTCGTACGCGCAGTTACGGCGTCAGTTGGTCGACAACAGCTGTCGTTGTGTGTTTCGTGGTACAGGAAAGCACTGAGTACCGCAGTTGTCAACATTTGGTCCGCCACTTTGTGAACAAGTTCATTCCTGTTTAGATTGCGTTCGAAGTGATACATATTTTTTCGTTTCCGTATTTACTTGGTTTGTTGTTGTTATAATTCCGTTTTTGTTAGTTTTATTTTTGATTTTTGCTGTTATTGTGAGTACTACATTTAAATTTTAAGATATGAAAAAACTGTTACAAGAGGGGATCCAACGTGTATCTGCTGATAAATGGCAAAATTGTGTGGATCATGTTATAAAAGTCGAGGACAATTTTTATAGCAATATTGACAACATGATTGATAATACAATAGATAGTTTTATCATAAAATACAGCTGACTCGGACTCTTCCGACGAATCATCTTTGTCTAGTAAGTACAGATGACGGCGATTAAAATTCGAACTTTGTAATAATTTATTTAAATAAAAATATTTTTAACTCCTAAAACTTTGTTTACATTTTTTATCTCGTCTGGTTGGCCTTACTTTACATTCATATTGCCACTATTAAACAATTCTGGAAACTCTTTGATTACGTGGACGAAGACCGACGAAAAAGCTGTTGGTATCTACGAATTTTGAATTTTCGAAATACGAACTTTGTAGTGATGAACGCAGATTCAATTTAATGTCACATGACGGTATCGACTATTAATTGAATTAAATTAATTGAATAATTCGTCAAAATACTTTTGAGCGCTAATATTAATTTAAAATAAAGGTCCGCAGCTAAGTTCTCGCTTGTTTTTTAAAATTGATAATGTAACTTTATTGTGAAAAATTGTCTAAAGATTTAATTTATCCTTTGATGAGCGGAACTGTTGACCATGAGCCACTGAACGGTAGAAATAATAATCGGACGGCGCAATATCTAGAGACCCACTGTGAATGACGCCGAAAGACCCGTTTGATCGTTTCCAAGTTTTAACGGGTTTGGCAAAGCAAGGGTGAGCGTTATCATGCAAGAGAATCACTTTTAATCATGCCTCTGTTCGGATTTTGGCTGTTGTTCGCACGATGCTCGGCTTAATCGCATTCACTGAGTTCGATATTTTCGCCCAAAACGGTTTCATTCCGTTCCGATAGCTCATAATAATTAATGCCGACCTGGTCCTACCAAATAGACAGCTCAACTTTGGCAGTGTGAATATTCGGCCGGCCTGATGACGTAGACTCTTGACCGGGTAATACCAGAGAATTTGGTTAGATTGCAGTATTGAATCCAATTTTCACCACCCGTCACGAAGCTATTGAACAAAACCTTTCGTTTTTTACAGCCTTTTCACATGCGACAAAATGTTCCTCGACATCTCTTCGCTTCAACTCATAAGGAACACAAATTATTTGCCTCTGAATCATTCCCGATGCATTCAATTGCTTGGAAATGTCTTGGCGACCAAATCCTAATGCTGGAGCAAGTTGACTATGCGTTTGACAGGACTCCTGAACATCAATTCCTCTAATGCAGCCTCTTCGAAGGGTTTTGGCTTTCCTTCACGCGGATTGTTGTTAGCATTAAAATCACCGTTTTTGAATCGACGAAACCAATCACGTCACGATTGTTTCGCTCAAAGCAGGATTGCCGTAAGCATTTTGGAGCCCTCTATGTGGTTCAGTTGCCGTTTTCTTCGAATGGCAAAATAAAAGCAACACTTCCCGCAAATAATGGCATAGTTAGTACAAAAGCAGACATTTTCAGACAATCCAAACTAGTATATCACACAACAAAATCACTAACGTGTGAAAGAGGTTTGTTTACCGTATCTTTAAGCTCGGTTCACAATGTTTTAGATCTGTCAAAATCGATCGACAAGCACTTATGTCTGCAGCCATCTATTGACAAACAGCGAAAACTTAGTTGCGCACGCCTAGCATTTTTGTATCCATATGTATATCCATTTAAACAAATGAAACTAATAAAGTGAAAACAATAAATGGCAAATAAAACCGTAAAATTTGAACTACATCTACGACTCCCGAAATCCGAAGAAAATATAATAAATAAGTGTAAGTAAGTACAAATAATTATTAGTATAATTAAGTATATTATATTCTCCATCACTAGCATGATCAATTGACAGACCGTCAGGATCGCAATTTCTCGTCGGCTCAATAATAATGATTAATAATAATCTAATCTTACCATTGGGAATCCGCATAACATTCAAACGTTATTTTGCTTTGTAGCTTTGCTAATATTAACCGAGATTCAATTTTTTTACAAAACGTTTAATAAGCATTAAATATGCACCTTTGAGATATGAATGATTTTATGAAATTCTAATTTAAGCAAACATTGTTGGAAAATTCGTTAAAATTCAATTTACAAAAGGGATTTTTAATTGCAAAACTAACTCACCATATAAAATATAAACAGTTGGCCTAGAGCTCCCATTAGAGCCAAGCTGATGATAAATACGATGACTTCGGGGTACACAGACACGAAACGGATAAACTGGAATATTTCACCGCTCAATACCACGCCGATCGTTAGAATTATAGTAGACCTAAAATGCATTTTCAATACTCATTTAAAACATCAACACTTATTTACGATATGATCGCATTCAGCATTTTCCTTTTTACTAGAAATTGCTATGTTAAGCTTTAAAAGTATTATATTAGTTTTGTTAATTATAGTTCTAGCTTTACAATTTAACAGTTTGTATGGCACAGGCAGATAAGCCTTTATTTAATTTGTTAATTCACGAGAATAAAAATAAATGCCAACAAAACAAAGTTCGCGGTGTGCAATCGCTAAATATACGGATAATTCGCTAAGGCTGAGGCATAGCAATTCTAATGAAAAGTGAAGAACGTTTCTAATTTTAGTTGATCTATTGTTCTTCTCGCGCGACATCTTGTTTATCACTGTTACACTGTTCCAGTTTTTTTATGTCATTTTTCAGATACGATAGGCACAAACTCGACATACCACCAGTTCGTGTTCAACATCATTGCGTACGCAGTTGGAGAATGTTCGCTTTTAATCCGTTCCTATAAAAAGAGAAAGAAAAAATTATTATTTTGAATTTATTCTAACTGATGTTTCTGAGTATGATTTTTATTCCAAACTAAATGAAAATTTATTGGACTAAATATATTGTCGAGCCCACTATAAGAATTCATCACATGTTGAAAGCATCTTATTGAAAAATTATGCTGAATCAAACTTTCACGCGAGGTAATCGTGTATTCCAGTTTGAAGTGCGGGACAATCATAAAACTATGTCTTTGACTTAGGCCTCAAGTCTCGAAATGGATGACGGAATTCACCTTGTGTTACTATGAGTTCCGGTAAGCACTTAACACCAAATAGGCCATGAGGTCGTTCACTTAATATACTTAGTCTGGCCATAAATACTGTTACAATTAAAAATAATAAAAAATCTATTGCAAATAACATTTATTACTTTTACAGTGTCGGAATTCACCTTGTGTTACTATGAGTTCCGGTAACCACTTAACACCAAATAGGCCATGAGGTCGTTCACTTAATATACTTAGTCTGGCCATAAATACTGTTACAATTAAAAATAATAAAAAAATCAATTGCAAATAACATTTATTACTTTTACAGTGTGTTAGTTTAATACATAAATATAAAACAATTCAAAGTATAAAAAGCTTATTCGAAATGGTCTCCATTGGCTGCAATACAGTCCTTTAAACGTTGAGGCCAGTTATCAATAGAAGCACGCACTCTTTCCATGGGAAAAATTTTCACTGCCAATCGTACGGATTGTTTTAGGGACTCCAAATTATCTGGCGTTTAGAGCAAGCCGTACTCTCTAAAACTGACCATAAATCATAATCCAGCGGATTAAGATCGGGACTAGACGACAGCCAGTCTTCAGCTCTGATGAAGTCCGAAACGTTCGTTTCCAACCAAGACTGCGTAGACCGAGCTTTATGACCTGGCGCCGAGTCTTGCTGGAAGGACCATTCTTGATTATTGAACATGGTGTTGTTAAGGGGCTTCACTACCTTCTCAAGAATGGTATCTTGATACACTTGTGCCGACGTTTTGATACCTTTTTCACAAAAGTATGGCTCCGTCACTCCTTCATAGCTAATACCCCACAAAACCATCACTGAAGTCGGATAGTGCTCACGTTGCACTCTGTCGACTAATTGGGAAGCTTCCTTAGAGCTTTGAGCATAAATACGGTCATTTTGTTTGTTAAAATGTTGCTCAATTGTAAAAAATTGTCATCCGTAAACAAATTTTTTCTATGAACTCCCTTTGCATACCGCTTCAGTAGTTGTTTCGATTTTACCACCCTATTCTCTTTTAAATTATCAGTTAAGAAATGACCAGTACGTCTCTTATAGGCTGCAAGTCCTAAGTCATCTTTTTAAATACGCGACATGATTCTAGGTGCTATCTTCATCTCCCGAGATAAAATATTTTGCTTTCGGACAGGATTTCTTCGAATTCTTTCCCTTGCTGCTTTGACCACCTTTTTCGTACGAACACTACGTGGACGGCCAGATCTTTTTCTGTCACAAACAGAGGAGGTCTCATTGCACCTATTAATAGCCCGGTACATAAACATTTTACTAATCCTAAGCGTATGCAGAGTTTTAAAAATTGCATTTGGCTCAATACCTACTTTGTGTAATGCAATCACAGCGATTCGGTTCTCTTTATCACCCCACTTCATTTTAATATCGCAAAATATTGTACAATGTATTGGCGCCAAAATGAGAAAACTCAATGAGCAATAAGGGTGAAACCGATATATTAGTATTCATTAAGATATTCGTAATACAACTTGTATTCTTGTATCGGTAATCCGTCGAATTCTGATATGCTAATATTCCGTATTCACTTTATTCATAATACTCAACTAACTCACATCGGTTGGGTTGTATCTATCACTCGAAAATATACTGGCACGCCGTACGTGTCTCGTGGATATCTGTCTATCACATTCATAACAATACTGCACGCGCTAAGAGTAAGTGAAATAAACTACATGTTTATATACTGAGCAATGAAAATAAGTACATATCATTATGAGTTTAAGGACTAATTTGTATTGCACTTTTTACATGTCAAAGATGCAAGTGGGAATTTTTAAATGCATTACTTTTTAATGTTTGAACCTTCATTTCTTGATTCAACTAAAGATTCTACTCAAGGCAAAATAGTGCATTTTTACATTTATTGGAATAAAATCGAGGAGCTTTATTTTCATTATTTTAATTTTATTTTCTGTTCCCTTCGAATTAGTTGGGTTTAAAACGATGATTTGAAAAACGGAAGTTGACATTGTTTACCAATTTCATAAATGAAAAGTTTTCTACACAAACGTAATACGGCCAGAACTAAATTAAGTGTTTTTACGTAATAAATTAAGATGACAATATATTTTTGCGGTGGTATTTAATTATCTTCTAAGAACTTCTCAAAATATAAATAAAAGTTTGATTTTTGAATCGAAATGACTTTCTAAACAAACGGTTCGTGGATTATAATATTATAACTGTGTACCTACTAGCCACCTCAGTACCATGTGAGAGGATTTTTCAAAATCTCGTAAGCTCATTTCTGACCGACGCAGCGACGTACCAGTCTTTCAGTAGAAAAAGTAAAAAAGCTGATGTTTTTATGCACCAATAAGAAATAAATAATATTACTAACTTGTTGTTTACATTAATGTACAATGTTGACCAAATTCTGATTTAATAATAATAATATTAATTTTAATGTACATAATATTACTTGTAAAATATTTAGTATGAAGTCAAATTCAACCTAGATACAATATACTTTTTATATTATTAAGAACTAATTTATGTGTATTATCTATGATTATTAACTTATTTCACGAATACCTTATTAGGTTTAACTCGTTTACCCGTTTTACCGAAGTATATTAAGATATCAGGATATTCACGTATTAGTTAAGGTATTATAATATTACATAATGAATATATTAGTATTAGCTAATATTGACAAATATCGGTATTAACCCATCTTTAATGAGCAATCATATAAAAATGACAGATTCCAAATTCAAATGTAATATTTTGTTTATTTTTAATTGTAACAGTATTTATGGCCAGACTAAGTATATACAATAAAAACAAAAAAATGATCCTATAAAAAAATAAAGCAGACTTCGATGGTAAGGCATGTAAGGCATGGTAATGTATAAATTCTAAAGGCTGTTGCAGATTCCTAGCTGTATTGTCTACTGGTGCTATGTACACAAGATTGGTACAGATTAATCTAGGACCGTGCTATCTCTTTGGACAACTGTTGCATATTTTCTTACACATATTATATATAGATTCAAGAATGAAGATGCACTGTAATAGATTTGTTTCTTAGGCGGACTTTAAGTATGTTGGTCGGAAATCGTTATAATAAACACTAAGAAATATCGCCTTAGGAATCTAAAGTAACTATAGTAGAATTATTTTGTCCGTGCAGTTTGGGTCATAAAACATAGAGCCTGGCAAGCGAAAGTAGACACTCGAATTATTTGCAGTCTTTTCGTATGGCAATGTTAGACAAAATGTCAAATTCAATTTGTCAAAACAAGATTGCGAGCTGTTAGGCGGGGCGGGGTGGTGGTACCTACCCGTGCGGACTCACAAGAGGTCCTACCACCAGTGAATACGCATATTATAATTTTGCGGGTTTGATTTTTATTACACGATGTTATACCGTGGAAGTCTATCGTGAACATTGGTTAAGTACGTATTTCATTAGAAAAATCGGTACCCGCCAGCGGGATGCGAACACCGGTGCATCGCTGAACACGAATGCACCGGACGTCTTATCCTTTAGGCCACGACGACTTAAATCTATCGCTACTATCGCCTATTTTTTAATACAATTGAGATTTCGAGCTATTGTGTCAAGGTACTTTGTGTTTATCTATAAGTCCAATAATCATTTGAGGGAGGGAGGGCTGTCTCTTACGATATTCCGAGTATATTATATTTATTTATATTTATTCTTATCCTTTAGGCCACGACGACTTCAAATGCAGCACCTAATCATTCTGTTTCATCATTCTTTACAGAAGTGAGTGTTACAACATTAAAAATAATAAAAAAGGAAGGTACAGTAAATGAAGGTGTCTGGAATACCCCAGGGAAAAAACGGCCACATAAGCCCACAGTGTCCTACCTAGATAGTTTCGACATAGATGCTATTCGTAACAAAATTAACGAATTTTACATCTATAGAGTTCCTACGTTGAGAGCTCTGTTAATGGAATTAAGAGAAAGCATTGGATTTAATGGATGCAGGGAAACTCTTCGCCACTTATTATTGTCCAATGGCTATGAATTTAAGAAAAATAAGAATGAGCGTTCATTGTTAATTGAACGTTATGACATATCTGCCTGGAGACATCGGTTTTTAAGAACCATGGCTTTGAAACGTAGAGATGGAAAGTCAATAATTTATTTAGACGAGACCTATGTTCATAAAAACTACAAGCCCAAGGAGTCTTGGCAAGGTCCATCTACAAGTGGTGCAATTGAAAAATTTTCGACAGAGAAAAGGTACATAGTTGTACATGCTGGATCAGAGAAAGGCCCTGTGCCAAACTCATTGTTAGTCTTTAGCACTAAATCTAAAATGGCGGACTACCACCACGTCATGAATGCTCTAAACTTTAATAAATGGCTAAGAGAAAAGCTTATACCCAATTTAAATGAGCCGAGTGTAATAGTTATGGATAACGCCAGTTACCATTCAATCATGGTAAATAAAGCTCCTACATCACAAAATCGCAAAAACGACATAAGAGAATGGCTTACTTTGAATGATACTCTGTTTGAAGAATATCACACAAAAGCAAAGCTCCTATGTTTTGTAAAACGAAACACACCAGAACCAGTATATGAAGCTGATGAACTTCTGAAGCAGAATGGTCATGAGGTATTACGACTTCCCCCCTACCACTCGATTTAAACGCCATTGAGCTGGTATGGAGTTTGGCTAAACGTAGTGGCAAGTAAAAATATTGCCCTGGCGGCAGTGGAGTTAGAGGGGGTTATAAAAGAATCGTTTGAAACCATAACTCCAGAGGAGTGGAAGAAAATTACTGATCATGTCATACATGTTGAAAATAAATATAAAGAAAGGGACAGAATTACAGAAAATAACTTGGAAAATACTATTATTAATGTAGGAAACAGTGATTCCAGTGACTCTAATGAATCTTTTCACATGGAAGTTTTAGATTCATATTTTGATTATGAAAGTGAATAAACCAAAATTATTATAGAATATTGTTGTTTTTTTAAATCAGATTGCTACATAAGACCTACTTTTATTTTTAATTCAGACGTAGTAAGCTGATTTTTCGAAATGTCACGTATTTCTTTGATTTGGATCAATATAGGTAGTGATTTTACATCTCTGAATAGAAATTCGGTTATACGCGATTAGCGCTAGCCATTTTAATATTATTATCTTTAACTTACCTAACCTAAACTACAGGCAAAGGCCTCCCCCGAATCCTTCTGGGAACTTGAATTTATATCAATCGTATTTATCAAAAACTTAGTGATTAGTTTATTTTGATAAGAGGTTACCGAGGTAGGTTAGTACTACTCCTACCGCAGTATTGATTTATTTCATAGACTTATTCCCATTCTTGGACCTGTCCACATGCAGTCAAGCAGTAGTGTACAAATAATACTATTTTTCAGCAAAAACAAATTATTTTATATTATAAAGTATTAAATTAGGTTATCCCAGGTATGTCATACTAATTTTGGGGTTGCTATACTGATATTTTTTAAATTTGCCGCGCTTTTTCAGTCCCTACTTTCATTTGCCAGACTTTAGCCCGGCTAGGGCGGTGAGCTTGTTGCGCGGGCGCTACGCCGTTACCGATAAAAACGAATAAATCATCGAAGGCAGGTACACGGCGGCGGGGAGGTATACGAAGGTGGTGAGGCATTGTTATGTTATGAGTCATTTGTTGTTCCTGCAAATTGTAGTACATAATATGTCGAAGAGAAATGTGTTTGGACATTTGCTCTTTGAATTTCTTTAGTGACACAATGGTTATTCCTTTGTTTTGCACCAAAACAGCAGAATTTATTCAAATACCAGCACAAGCACGTGATATTATCAACAATGTGTTAAAACTTTTCACTCAAATGAGAATAGATTCCGAAAAGTTACAAAGTGTTAATTTCTGCCTTTCTCGTTAACTTGCTGCGGCGATGTGTTGTAAGTGTTCGATTAGTGATTTTTTCTTTCATTTTTATCACTAGCCCACAAAATAACAAAACTAAATACACTATCGATAACGCTTATCAACAACAATAATGCGCATCACTATGCCCGTGCATAAGGCTCGTGAGTGGAAGAGAGAGCGAAATACTCGCTTCACCGCTCCGATTATTTATGACCCAAACTGCACGGACAACATAATTCTACTATTGTGGTCCCCCAGTAGTGGAAATTGGACTATAATTTATTGAAATTACAAGTTTGAACATTATTATAGTTCTATTCTCAAAGACTATGGCTTGAAGTCGACGTGGCCTAAAAGATCAGAGGTTCGGTGCATTTGTATCCAGTGATGCACCGGAGTTCGATTAACGCTGGCAAGTACGAATTTTTGTACTCTACCCAATGTTACAGTTTTTATTTTGTCACTCACTGTAGAACTGACACTAGCTAATGTAAGGTTCTGATAAAGTCAAAAGATACTGGACTTCAATAATCAGTCTGGTATAATTTGATGAAGTCTGCTCTGTGTACTCTGTGTGTCTCACAATATTTGGACTCAGCCATCATAACCTTATAAAAGAATATGTTGAACTAATTCTAAAATGTTTATTTAAAATTTTATTAATACACAAACAAAAAATGCTTACCTGCACAGCACCTGTCAGGCCATCCATGAGAAGTGACAATATCAAGAGCAGTTCTCCAATTCCGATGCCTGGTGTTTCATCAGTTACTTTCTTTTGGTCTTTGTACATGAATAGCACAACACCAATAACAATAAGAAATACAAACAGGTATTTCTTCAGAGGATATGACTTGCGACCAAGAAGGACACCGAGCATCAGGACTGGGATGGGTTTTGCCGCTTTTCCCACAACCTGAAATTTATAAAATGCACATGATGTATCATTTCATGAAGTGATCGCCTCACCATAGTATTATTTTATAATGGAACCAAGTTGCAAACTTTTCAACTTAAGCTATTATATTATATTTAATAAAATACAATACATAGTTTTATAAAATCACCCTTAGCAACAATTTGTATGAAAAAGAGAATAGGACATCAATATCTATAAGCGAAGACGGGATTTAATAAAAAAAATTATTACTTCTTTGAGTGGACGGGCTTACGGCCAACCGTGGTTGGTGTTTAGTTGTTATATAGACATCCTCGACGCAAATGCTGCAACCCACCTCGAGACACAAGTTCTAAGGTCTCTGTCCAGTACAACGGCTGCCCCACCCTTCACGCTTCTGCTTCATGGCAGAAATAGGCAGGGTTGTTGTACCTACCCGTGCAGACTCACAAGACTTTCTACCACCAGTAATTACACAAATTATAATTTTGCAGGTTTGATTTTTATTACAAGATGTTATTCCTTCAGAGTGAAAGTCAAATCCGTTCCGTCAATCGTGAACATTTCTTAAGTAGGCATTTCATCAGAGAAATTGGCACTTGCCTGCAGGATTGGAATACGAATGCACCAGACATCTTATCCTTTACGCCATGATGGATTTTAGTTATAAGGCACATTTTGTTAAGAATGAGTGCCCCAGTTAGTAATTTTTTTTTTTTTTGGCATTTAGAATAGATGTTGCTTATTCATACAAAAAAGACACCCTGCATAAAAATTACTGGTCCTATACTGACCCTGTAAGTACAAGACGCAGGTTTTCCACAGTCAGTATCTTTGTTACAATCATTTGGGATTTGGGATAGGATTTATTTTACTGTACCTTATATTTGTCCTATAAAATCTTGAATGTGAAATGTTAGGTCTTTTTTTCACATTCAAGATTAATTATTGAAATTTTGAATAAATTTATTATAATTTCTTTGAGTTTAGAAAAAAATTGCCCATCTATCACTATCTACTGCCTACCTATAACATGACTATATTTGAGTTGCAGAGAATGATCCATATAAAGAGTTCACACAATTTGTTGAAGTTATTTTATGTAACACCTAAACAATGACAAAAACAATACTTCTGACTTAGGTTTTTTTTTTCAATATCATGTTTCGTTTTATTTATTGAAATTTTAAACATTACCTGAGTAGGGTAGTTGACCCATTGCAACGCCATGTTAGAGCAGACCATACCCAAGAGATACGTTAGAGCAGAAGAGAAGTAGTAAATTTTCTTGGTATTGTCTTTTTCATGTTTCCAAGATAACTGAAAAAAAAAAAAAAAAACAATTAAGCTATGATATAATATATGTTTTATTGTCGATACTGCTGCTTTCCTAGGTGATTTTTTAAATTAGAATATTTTAAATGGAAAAGCTGAAATACAGTTCTAATAATTTAAGAAAATTTTACAGCAAAAGTGTGCGCTAGGTCAGAAATAAACTGGAAATCTGAAAAAACTGGATTCTTCCAAAAAAATCTATCATTGTAAAGCTAATGATTATCCTAACAGCACACTATTATTTTATATTGTTATTTTTTATATTCTTTTATCTATTTCTACTTTGAATTTATTTGAATTTATGTAATACAGTTTTAAGTGTGTATTATATTCAATTTAATTTTTTTGGTTTTAATATTGAAATTTTTTTTTTTTTTTTTTAATTAGTACCATTTATGTATGTACATAGTTTTTGTTTTGTTGCATAGCTGTAGTATGCTTAGATTATCACTGGATAGTGAATTGTTACCCTTGATTTGCAATTTTTATTGCTAAATTATATTCATTAATCATCGGAAATTAGACTGATGGTGACCCTCAATTTAATAATAATGAATAAAAACTACCTATAATTTTGTTATAAACTAAACCAGCTCCTACAGCTGGAAAGTTAAAACAAAACAGAAAATCTACTGTTTTGCGTTTATGTCTAGCCAATAAGTTTCTTCAAAAAGTGCTCATAAAACTACTATGGATAGCTATGAAAAAAAAAACAATAGCAATATGAATAAAAAAAAACAATATTCACTACTATATTTAATGATGATTGGACATTACAAAAGATTTAGACCAGTAATAAATTGGGCATCCAGTTATGAAATAATTGTAAGGTTTTCGTATCTAATTATTGGTATCTAAGACATAGATGATATTGTAATAGTATACTATGATTTAAAATAAATATAAAAATACGTTGACACATACAATATTGAGGTTTTTTTCAATTATTTGTTACTTACCATTAAAATTTGAGCAAAGATGTAATTCACTGTACATTGTACAAGAACTAATGATAAGGTGGCCGTAAATTTCTCATTATTACCATATACTCCTCTAGTTACTTTTTCTTGAAGCATTCCATAAATAAAGTAACATGTAAAAATAGAGCCGGCATAAAATATGAATCGAAATTCCGTGCTGCTCTTAGCCATTTTTGCTGATGGTATTTACGTAAATTTAGAACTATTCCTCACTTAGAAATTAATTCTAGACAACCTCACGATATACTGAATTGATCACACTAAAAAGTGGACACGTAATTCATTTTTTTAGTAAAGACGATAATATTGGCTAATTGAGGTTTAACACGTATGAATTTCGTCGCTAGGTAGGTATACGAATTACGAAAGTACGAACATCGTACGTCAATGATCAAATATGAAGTGTATAATCTATGGACAACGTCAAAACTAGTGGATCCGTTCCACACAATCGGACCATAGAGTAAAAACTTTTTAATAAGCAATTTCACAATAAATTATTGTTGCTAATTAACATGAGCTGCAACTGAGATTTCTCTCCTTAGATCAGTAACAGAATATAAGATTTACTAAGCCCCTTAAACTATTTTCTTAGTTGGGGAATCCGATACAATGCCATCTATGGAGTATTCATATAAGCTGTTCATTTTCCCTCACAAATTTGTTTCAGTGAAATACAGCGGGTGCACAGATTTTCTTTCTCCGGCTACTTTCATATGAAATCGGTTACAAATTTACGTTTAATTGGCATAAAAAAATCAATTCTACTTTCGACTATTTCGTTTCTGCTTATTTTCATTTGCTTCATTTCTGCCTATTTTCATTTGCTAACCTACTTTTAAAACTTTTATGAAGAATTTGATTATGATATTTAAAAGTGACCACCATAGTGACTACCATACTGGCTCTTTCTAGTGTGAAGCAATTTTGCGTTCCAGCTTACAAAGCCCTAAAATAGGTATGTCAAGAAAAGGCTGATGTACATGTACCTATAGAATATAAAAGAGCTCATGGACCTCATACAATTTAAAAAATTTAATATAACCTGTCTCTTTTATATTCTCTAATAAAATAAATGAAACTAATAAAGTAGACTTGGGTTCTCGGATTCTTCCTAAAATAAGCTCTTAATAAATCTCACAATTTTTTTTTAAATGCTTTTATATTTAATCTCATCCAACGCATACGATGTTATATTATCGTACACCAGAAAAATCCACCACCATTTCGTTCCATTTTACTTTTCATAAAATAGACAGACAGACTTTTGTCATAAAATACGGTGAAAGGGCTATGTACCCTCTGCCTGTCCAATGGACGAATCAAATAGAAAATGCTCCATGATTGACATTGTGCACTTCATTTGTAGTGGAGTATCAGAAACGGATTTTGTTTTCCTTCAAACCATATATTTTTGATTACGAGTATTATTAAGCTTGTTTTGTATACATTTTGTATTTACTTGAAGGAACGCAGATACAACTAAGTTGACTCTACAATTTTAAAACAGTGAAATTATTTTATCGAACACTACTATGTAAAGTTTTTAAAATTTATTGAAGTTGAGGTTTAATTAAAAAAATACTTTTCTCTTTACCGACCACATACATAACGGACAAATCAGATGAAATTTTAAAGTATTTAATAGCTCCTCATTGTTTCAAAAAATATTTGTTTTTTCTTGTTTAATGTTTGTTTTTGAAAAAGTTTTCAAAAATTGTTAAGTATAGAAGTTTTTCTCATAGGTACCTACAATGGTATTTAAGAATGCACTAAAGTTAAGCAAAACGGAACGTTTCGAAACTTGTAGAGTTACGAACTTAAGTAAACAAAGCAAAACGAACTCTATCTTGTAGAGCGAAGGCGTACACAGAGATATGAGCGCATGGCCTTCAATAATACAAAAAATATTAGAGCTATGATGCAGATATGTTCCTAAAAGGTTATTTTATAATATTATGTATCATTTAAATCAGTTTGTTGCATGACTTCCAAGCTCATGCCAAAGTTTTATTGATAAATAATGCGTTGCGCTTGATTTTTATTATTTTGAAGTTAACCAAGACAAGAAGTAAACTTTTAAAGTAAATTATGTTCGTAGTGTTAAGTTAAAGTCGTGTTCAAGTTCGCTTTCTTGGTTTCGCCGGATGTCACAGAAATAAACTTCTGTAGTAAGTAAGTGTAAATTAAGTATGTTTACGTATAGAGCTTAGAAATATTATATTGAACATTTATGAAGGGGTTTGTTAAGTTGACGAACTGTCAGCGATGACATAACGTAAATGCGGTAAATTCAATTGAAGCAAACTCTTGGTTATTTTCAAGTATGACTCACTAGTGTAGTTACAAAGAATTGTGGTTTTGTTCTGTGACATAAACGACGGGAAATTTATAACAGCAATATGCAGTTTTAAATTTAATTTTATTACTTCATAATTACAATACGGTGAGTTCGTTCAGTTTTAAGCACGCAAGTTAAAAACAACGAGATTTCTAGTTTATTTAAATAATCGTAAAACATGTATTTCCGTTACTGGTTTATAACGTCTAATAAGAATATTAGAATCGTTTTGTGTAACTTATTATTTAGAGAAAAATAATGTACTCTAAAAGTGCACTAGCCTAATTGGCATTTTAACTATTAGGCAAATTATGGCCTTATCTTTACCCTATTAACCTAGCCTATCATAAATTATCGCGGTAACTAATTCTAGCATTCACCGTGTTTGAAGCGGTCCATATAACCAATCCTATATCATTAAGTCAATGATTTAAATTAAAACTTTACAAGTTTATAACAATAAATTGAAAACGTGATCGATATTTTCAAAGATTCACATATTTCGTCCAAAGTATCCATTAGCACGTTTATCTGTATCATACAAATGAATACATTTAATTACAAATATCATTACAACGAACGTCACATGATAGCTGTGATTGATATAGTTCGGTTTGAGACGTGCAGTAATATTCTTGCGCATCTGCTGTCTGTAGTTTTGAAATTTACCAAACATACACTTGATACCTGTACTATACAATGTACCTATGTAGATAATGAAAATACTAGAAACGGTTCACAAAAACTGTGTACAGATATCTCAATATTTCGTTTCAAGGAACATCTTAAATTTAATGCCGATTTTTCTCGTCCATTAATCTCCGAGTACGTTTTTTTATTTGTCCACTCAAGTCATCTGATTCACAATATCGCGATCGCCAACTTGCATTTTGTACGGTTGAGTTTTAAATTCTGTAAAAATATACACAGGCCTGCCTAGATATTTGTAAATGTGAGGTTTTCTCAATTTAATCTTCAAAATGTGTTTACAAAAGCAAACGTCAATGGCAATTACGCCGTTTCAATCTTGTGGTCAGTCATAATTTCATTGAATTGAAAGTTATCTTCAAACTGAAATGTATGACAGCATTGTGCCACAAACAGATAAAAAGAGAATGCAGAATCGGTTAGCGATTCGCGAGTATCCACAATCAACATGCACACAATTTTTCAATTTACTTTAACATTCATAACGGAAAAAAGATAGGTACATAAATATATTATCTGTGTCATGTACAACCAGCGATCGTGTTAAAAGTAATAACATTAGTAGAATTTTCACTAGTTTTAATATTACTCCTATGTTACTAATCCTCTAAGTTACAACTAATTTTACCGTGAAATTAATCACTTGGAAATTTAATAATAGTATTCAAGTGGTCAAGCACTGTTTGATATTAATGTTCATACTTAGAGTTTAAATACACGGAAATAAAAAATAAATATAATATACTCGGAATGTCGTAAGAGACGGCCCTCCCTCCCTCAAATGATTATTGGACTTATAGATAAACACAAAGTGAATAGTACCTTGACGCAATAGCTCGAAATCTCAATTGTATTAAAAAATAGGCGATAGTAGCGATAGATTTAAGTTGTCGCGGCCTAAAGGATAAGACGTCCGGTGCATTCGTGTTGAGCGATGCACCGGATTCGCATCCCGCAGGCGGGTACCAATTTTTCTAATGAAATACGTACAAACCCACAAAATTATAATTTGCGTAATTACTGGTGGTAGGACCTCTTGTGAGTCCGTGCGGGTAGTTACCACCACCCCGCCTATTTCTGCCGTGAAGCAGTAATGCGTTTCGGTTTGAAGGACGGGGCAGCCGTTGTAACTATACTGAGACCTTAGAACTTATATCTCAAGGTGGGTGGCGCATTTACGTTGTAGATGTTTATGGGCTCCAGTAACCACTTAACACCAGGTGGGCTGTGAGCACTCGTCCACACATCTAAGCAATAAAAAAAAAGTGTGTGTGTCCGCTCCGACGCACGACTGGAGTTTACTGGATATAAAAAATTAAACGAAACAATACGAGAAATAGTTCTATATTACGACAACACGATACACTACAGATTATTAACAAATTAACGAGACACAAAACAAACGACTAACAAATATATGAAAATACAATAATGAGAGAAACGCGCGATCAGTACGAGGCTTTGTGGCGGACTGCCGGCGCAGCAGCCCGGCGTCACCTGCGATAACGCGGCCGCGCGTTGGCTCCTGATTGGCGCGCGCACGCATCACGCAATCAGGAGCCAATCAGGCGCATAACGCATTTCGTGTGACATGCTAGTACGATTTTGGTCCCCATAATTTTCATACCCCGGGCCTATATATGTAAATCGATTCTAAAGGAGTAAACTCCAATAAAAATAAAGCCTTATGGAACCCACGTGGGCTACGTATATAGATTTTGCTGATATATACATATATATTTTATGTATATATTTTCAATTCTACCTATGAAGTCAAATAGGCAAGTTTATTTCTCAATTGTCGCTCTGTCGCTCATAAACAAGTTTGTTAAACAGAGTTGAGAACACGATTCGTTGCATACATAAAATTTTATATCCTAGACTGCCACTCAACGACTACGAGTTTGCTCAAATTTGCAAAAGGCTACGAATAATGTTTGATTCGTATACTCAATTTACCACATCGAACGTAACTCAGTTTGTGTTTAGAATATACCTATGATGCAATGGTATGATAATGCATGATTTACCAGTTAGCCTATTTCTGTTTGCTATTTTAAAGATGCTTCATTATCCACTACTCGAATAGCCGATTTTTGAAATACACGAAAACAGAAAAACTATGAAATCGAAGCGTCAACGTATTTCTACTATCGATGTATTTATCACATTAGGTGAATCGGAGAACGAATTACAGCAAGCAACGTCGATCGTCATATTATATTACATCAACCAATTAAACGGATATTTGAAAAGTATTGGATTGATTAAGATCTGCAAATGTAGATAGTTACCTAGTCTAAAATGCAGTTAATTCTATTTATTATTTAATATCACTTTGTCTATGGCTCCGTTGTGCAAATACGTCTTAGCTAACTAGACCTGAGTGTGTTTGTATGGTCTTATTAGTTCCACATGTCTAGTAGTTTTTTTTTTGGAGTTTACTCCTTTAGAATCGATTTACATATATAGGCCCGGGGTATGAAAATTATGGGGACCAAAATCGTACTAGCATGTCACACGAAATGCGTTATGCGCCTGATTGCGCATGTCACACGAAATGCGTTATCGCAGGTGACGCCGGGCTGCTGCGCCGGCAGTCCGCCACAAAGCCTCGTACTGATCGCGCGTTTCTCTCATTATTGTATTTTCATATATTTGTTAGTCGTTTGTTTTGTGTCTCGTTAATTTGTTAATAATCTGTAGTGTATCGTGTTGTCGTAATATAGAACTATTTCTCGTATTGTTTCGTTTAATTTTTTATATCCAGTAAACTCCAGTCGTGCGTCGGAGCGGACACACACACTTTTTTTTATCTTTGAGAAGTTACTGGTGGCCCGGTGGCCTTTCCAGTTTTACCAGGGCAGGTGGGCGAACAAGGGCTCAACCAGCTAGTAAATAGCGCATTTTTTATTGCGTCCTTAACATCGATATGATCTACACGGATATGGTAAATAGATATGATACAAGCAAGGTTTCGATTTCATGTTGTAAGGTGGATGGTAAATGGCATACTATAAACACGGTATTTCAGCAATACGGTGCAAAGAAGTTTTGAAGAACAATCAATTGAAACGAACCGGACCGTATATTCGACTTCCTATCGCAACAAAATAACTAAGACATGCGTTTTCACCTTCACTCTAAATTACGCCTCTAAAGTGTAAAATCGACCTAATAAAGGGTAGGGAGATTCATGAAACCCATCCGAAGGACCTCAAAGTTTTAGACATTAGCCTCTTGCAGCCCAAGTTTCGTATTGTGTGCGGAAACACGGTGGAACTTATCCGCAGTCTCAATTTTCTTCTTCGAACTTCGTACTACTGAAGATAGTTTGATTTCGCTTCTCGAACTTTCGAGCCTCTTAACTTACGATGCTCTGAATGAAATATGAACCTATTGCACCTTTTATGCGGGGAACCATTATTATTTTGAATTGATTTATATATTGTACTTAATTGTCGCAGTATGTCTCAGCGCGTTTATTATCGCCATCATTTGTATTGTTTTCAACACATCGAATACTTGAAAGTTTTCAGACGACCTGCCGTAGATAAAAAACGGGGAAACGTAAAAGTAATTTTAATTATGCCCATTTCTTTTGTAAGACAGTGGTGATATAGGTGATAATAATATATCAGATAGCCACATTACACATTCGTAAAATAGCCCTAAGTGATGAAAATTTGCGCACAGTCTGCATATTGTTTTTAAGAAAAACCTATTATATGCAGGACACCTATTGTTCGATTTTGGGGTTTAAATTTTAAAATCTCTCGCTAACTTGCCCGGTATTCGCTCAATCAAATGATACCAATACCAGCACCACGCGCTGCCACAGCTTGTGCAACATTTGAAAAAGTCGGTCCTTAAATAATACACTTAATATAGTACTTAGATAGTACTTAGATAATACACACTTAATATTTGAGAATATTGTCAGTCGTGAAATCATTAGCAGTTGGCGGTAAGTCCGTATTTCTTTAAAACTTTAAAATTCAATAAACCTAAGCTATCGTACATTTATGAACATTCTGCCGGATATTAACCGTTACGAAATCAAATATCAATGATTCAGTATAATAAAAATGTAATTTATTGTAAAAATAGTTCCTACAAACAACAA